CATAACACACAAGTATGAGGATCTATGGTCTCTATACCTCTGATCATATACTGTAGTAGATACATAAAAGAAAACAATATGTTCAATAGAAAATTTTTGTGGCTAACACAATAAAAAGCTATATACTAATGTTCTACACTTAGTGTTTCATAACAAAAAATTCTTTATTGTACCTGATTGATTTTTAAATTTTGTATTTTTCATTCTATACCAAAAATACCTAATTTTTAAGGTTACCTTTTTCATTATAAAATTTTTTTTTATAATAAATAGAACACAATACTTTAAAGTTATTATTAAAAATAAAAAGGTAATTTTTTGAAAATTGAAAGGATTGTGGATAATTAAAGCTCATTGTTCAATAGGTAAATTAAACAATTGAATTTTATTCAAATTTTCATAAATAAAAAACGAAAAAGTTTTTCTCTTAAATTGGTTTAGTTTATAAAATTTCAGTTTTTATATTCGGCCATATATTGTACTGTGATATTGTTTGCCAATTTTAATACAAAGCGATTTTGCTATACTTTTGGAAAAATGTAATCATGAACAGCCATTTTAAATTTGGAAATTGCATGGGAAGCAAAATAAGTTAAATTCTGTCATTTACCTCACAAAAGGTAGAAATAAAAGGTTGGTTAAGAAATGTTTGGATGATAAATGTAGCGGACCCTAATCGCTGAAGGTCGGCAATTTTCAAAACCTGAATGGAGAATTTAAAATGCAAAATTGAAAAATATGCAATCGAAGAAAAATTTAAACATTTTATTATATGGTTCATTGTCTAAATTTCATTGTCATTGTCTTATTATGTAGAAATACGCAAGAGGTTTCCACTGCTAATCATATAAAATTCAGTCTGGGTTTATATTCGTCAGAAACTAGTATTATCTAATAATTGTTCAAAAATAATGTCCATAAGAACATTAAGATTTAAAAAACAGTTGCAGCCTCCCTCACGATAACACATGATGTTCCATAGCTCGTCAATTTCTCAATACTCATACTTGCATTTATTTCTGCAAAAAACTTTTTCATCTTGCTTCAATATTTTAATAAACATAGCAAAATAAATAATACAATTTAATATAAGAAGAGGTATTTGAATAAGAAGTAAAGGTGGAGCAAGGGCAAATGAAAGCAATTGAGACTTTAATTTTTGTTTTTAGTTTCATTATTGAATACTTTTTGAATGCATAAGTTCAACTGAAGCATAAGTTCACAATACATATACAAAAAAGAAACTTTTCCTCTTTTTTTCCGAAATCCTTGAAAAACTCAACTTTTTCTCTTCTTCCTTAATATTATATTAAACTTTTTTTTTGGTATTTTTAATATTAGTATTCAAAAAATGGACCACAAAATCATAAAAATAAGAGAAGAGAATAAAATCAAAAAACAAAAAAATCATTGAAACGAAAATCGAAAATACCATCAGTGTAATCAATATAGCATCAGAGTAAGAAAGCAGAAAGAGAAGAAGGGGAACCGAATAAGCAGTTGAATCGAAACAATAAGAAAAAACCAATAAATGTAGAGTAGAGTAGAATGGAGTAGAGTAGTGTACTCAATAAAGTTTAACAACCTTTTATTTTTTCATTACAAAAAAAAGGATAATATAATTTTAGAAACCTATAACCACAAACACACACACATAGCATAAATTACTTATAGATATATGAGATTATTCAAATAGGCTTCTAGGCTATGTTATAATACAAGTACTATCGTCATATGAAGATATATGGTTGATATAATATAATATCCTTGAAGGATATTTTATATAATACCTATATTGGTTGTTTTTGGTTAATATTGCATCAGAATGTAGAGAAGAAAAAGAAAACCATTATATTAAAGAACGTTTTAATGATAAAGTTTTTCTAGTTATAAATGCTTTTTTTACTTTTGACCAGCTACTCAAGTGGTCCAATTTTATGCCATAAGAAATGTAATATAAAAATTAGTTTTTTTTTCTTGCTTCTATGTGCGTTTTACCTCTTCTCTCTTGATCTGGTTTTTGTATTGTATAAAACAAGGCGGTTATAAATTTAGTAAATTTTCACTAAAATTACTCTTTAATATTAGGTTTATTATATACTATAAAGTAGATTGTGGGATGAAATATTACGGATATAGGAAAAGTTTAAGCCGTTTGATGTATAAATTTAATTTCAGATTGAAAATTTAATAAAAAAAATAATTGGAATCTTATTATGGAGGAGGAGATGTAAAAGTTTTATAACATTTTTTAACTATTTTTTTTATGTATGGCTAAGATTATTTATTAGCTCATTACTTGTGGATGAAACTCTAATTGCAGTATTGCAAGAAAGAAAGATTAGCTTTCATCTTGCTACAGCTTTTGGGTTGCAAGTAATAAGACTAAACCTTACCAATAAATCATAAATTACCTATAATGATTATACCATAAATGTGAGTACGTGCCTTATTTGTTGCGAAACTATCGAATCCAACATTAATTTTGAACACGTTTCTTCCAAACTTTAATTATTAATGATTTTGATTCCAACACAATAAAATCCTTAAATTCTTAGTTATCTTTCATATTAAAAATGCAGCAGTTAAAGTTTGGTTTTCTTTAAATTTTGTTTCAAGATCTGTGGCAGTTTCATATATTTTTGTTTCTTTAACCTAAAAATGTTAAATAAATTAGAAATATTCATATTTTAATTTTAGTAAATTTAATACTTTGTTTTTATTAATTTATATAATTTATAATTTAAATTAAAGAATATTAAAGTAAGATAACCAATTTTAAATTTAATATTATTTTATTTTAAATTAGAAAAGATTCCAGATAGCACAATTTAAAATGTAAAAAGGAAATTGAAATATAAAACTGATTTGACATTATTGTCTTTACAGTTTCCTGTTGTGTCATAGTTGTGTTCTCCCTCTTTTTCTTATTTTTTGTTTTCCTTTTTTTTTTTTGCTTTTGTCAATTTTCTGAAAGTCATTTACTTCCTATTAATATTTAATTATATGTATTCGATTATGTTTTACTCATACCCCTGTTTCCTTATTTTCTTAATTGTAATCCTGACTAATTCATTATTCTAATCAGAAATTATAATATCATTATTAATTTGAAATCAAAACATTCATTACTATTTTCATACAAAATCGCAAAAAAAGAAAACAATTAAAACGAATAATGGCAATAAGTTGAATATCGTTATAATTTGTTATCTTAATCAAAAAATCAATTAGGCCCCTTTTCTCAATTACACAAATTACAGGTTATTTTAACTATTGTCTTTAGGGTATGGAATTTACCTTAAACAGAAGCATTATAAAAATTACGGAAAATGGAAAAATAATATAGTTTGTAATAGTAAGTTCTACTATAAATTACTAAAAGAATTGTTCCCGGCACATCTTAGAATAATCCCATATTTCTGAATCACCATATTTAAATTGGATTTAAATTATTCACCTGTATTTTTGTTAAATTTGTCTTTTAAATATGCACTTGAATATGCATTTGAAATTTGCCTTTTAAATTTGCCTTATTTTTGAAATATATGCACGGTGATGGAGAGCCCTGGTTCATTATTCTACATAATATTGTACCTATTTAATAGCACCGATTTTTTTCAGAAAATTCATGCTTTTTGCTATCACTGCAGTCCAATTGTTGACTTCTTGTAATGTTTTGAATAATTAATTCAGTTCAATGTCATCCGAACTCAAATTTTTTGCTTTAACAATGATGCCTTGCAATAAGTACCGGCCATTGCAATAATGGAAAATTTTTCAATACCGTTTCTTGATTTACTTAAATTTTGTATTATTTTGTAACCGCCTATAGGTGAGATTAAAAGCAATTTAATTAATACAATATTGAAAACTTAAAATAATAATGAAAATTATTTAAACAAGAATAGGAATTTCGTTCAGCTTTATGTTGCTTTGTCATTGTATATAAAGAAAACATGACATTGCTCATATTTGTTTTTCCCGTACCTAATTTTTCCTTTAGCCATTCAGCTATTATATAAATTATTTTTTTTAATTTCGTTTTTACTTCAGTTCAATGAACTTTCAAGTGACCCTTTTAACTTTTCTTACACAAAACAATTTAAATTTATTCATCATAGGTTTACTTTATATGAAACTTCCAGAAATACCTATGTATAGGAATAAAATAATATTTTCTTCATTTCATTCTTCTTCTACAATTACATAATTAGTTACAAGGCATAAAACTACTGTTATGTCAATTTAAACAAAGAAAACTTATTCCTACACACATATATAAAACGGGGAGCAAAATGTACATCCATATTGAAATAATGAGCTTTTCATTTTGCTATTTAAATTTTTCCAATTCATTTAAAAATTAAGAGATTGCATTTTACCGTACATTGTACATTGTATATACGTTCAATGAGCTTAATATAAGTAATACCTTACTTCTATATATGTACTTGTAGATTAAAAAAAGTGAAGGATAAAATATAACGTATAGTGTAATTATTGCGGGGCGGGATATGGGCACTCTATATGAGATGCCCAAAATAAAATGAAAATCATTAATCATATTGAATTTTTATTATGTTCACTTCAGTTTATAATAGTTTGTTGTATAACTTTCGTGCTTCCAAAGAAATTTGCTGGGTCAATCGTTTAAATTTTAGTAAAAAATAGTAAAGTGAAAAGTATATAGAACGTATGGAGAGAAACATGTTTGTTGATTACGCTTTCACTTTGTTAAAATTAAAAACCCGGAAAGTCTACAATATTTTCGCAAGTCATTTTCCAATGTGATTTACAAAAGAGAAAAAAAAAAGCAAGGGTAAATGTTTAGCATGTTCACTAGAAAATTAAGTATTCATTTATATAAAATTTATTTTCAAAAACAAATTCATGAGATTTCATGAAATTAATCATAGAATATTCTAAGAAACAATTGAGATTAATAAATTTGAAAAGGTTCTAAAATGAAATTATGATACTATGTACATACCTGTTTATGTATTTGTATTGCTCTTCAGAAAATCATTGGCTCACTTAATGCTCGAATTATAGTAATTTATAATTGAAATGAAAGTATTCTAAGGTTCTCAAATTTTACGAAGTCCGGTTTCGACTCCTTTTGTGTTAGCGCCTACTAAGTTTTCGTTTCATCTTTGTTTTTCTTCTTCTTCTTTTCTACTTTGTGCAAAACTCTTAACTTTTCAGCCCAGAACCAACTACTCTTTAATCAGACCCTTTCACTCAAGCAAGAGCTATATGGCTCTGGCTCTGATTCCGAATCTTTAGCTAAAGCTAGAAGTTTTTGATTTTCATTCTAAACTACTGCTCTTTGACTTTTAAAAATTAATAGATTTTAGTCGTAATTCAGCTTTTTGCATTATTTGTTTCTATTATTTTTAATACGTCTAATTTATAATCACAGAACAGCATCTCATCATCTTGAAAAATAATCCATTATAAACAGTGTCCCAAAATTCATTTATTTCAACATGACGTATTTGTACGAAATTCAGGAATCCTTATAAGAAACATTGCTTTGTTTTGATTTCCGTACGACTTGACTTCAAATGTGAAATTCCTTAATAAAATATTTTTATCCGTTTGAGTCTCGAGTTATTTTTCTAAAAAGAAAAAATTAAAAAAGATCAATTTCTTCCAAAAAAGCATAAAAACAACATGAAAGAAAAACCTAATTTATTTACTAAAAGCGCCATTTCACAGTCTTCTCCTCTTCAAATTGTAATCATATATGTAAAATCCAATAATTAGTCACACTTCATTTTCCTAATGTATTTGAGGATAAAAATGAAAAAATATTTTAATAATTTCCATATGCGATTATAAAAAACAACAAAATTCGACATTTTCAATTATATATTCACAGAACAAAAAAAAGCAACAAAAAAAAATTCATTAATATTTTTTTCATCTGCATGTTTTCCTTAATATCCTTTTAAAAATTACATTTAAGGTACATGTGTGACCAATTAAAAAAGTAAGAGTGTTTCCACTCTCGACAATATCATATCAAATTATCTCAATGACATGACACATGTCATACGGTACAATCAATGTTGTAAAAAAATTTTTTTTATTGTTTCTTTTTTATTTTGTTTGATTATAATTTGATTTAAAAAAGACAAGATAGTAGAGTCGAGGGCACAACAGACACACAGATAATAAACTGTAAGTAAAATAGAAAATATTTTGTTAAAAAAAATTATTAGAATTCCAGAGTATAAAGAAAATTTTGTAACGACCACTCTTAAAATACCAAGGGAATTTTAATTAAATCAAAATTTTTATTATTACCCTCACGTTATATTAACCATATTATATTTTATACAATTTTATACCACGCAAGCCAAAAAATTTTTGATATTACCATAATATACCGTTTCTATAATAATACATACAATGCTTTAGTCTTGTTGTCTAACTACACGGATCTTGATTATTATATAAGAATGTTATTATTTATTATCGTAATTTGTTTCTTTTATCAAAATATAATTTTCAAACCGGTATTTTGTTAAAATAACACTTATTTTATCCATAGATTTCAGGGATACCGAACCATACATTCAATGTTTTAATGAAACCATACAGATTTTTTTAAAAGTCCACTGCTGTCGTCGTAATCTAAAAAACAAAGAGATTTCATTGAAATCAATTGAAAACAATAGTATTTTATTTAACATTATCAAGACCTAAAACTGCAAAGAATTTGTGTTTAGCACGCTCTCTCATCAAAAACAAATCGAACTACAAATTCTCTTTAACCATAACTATAGCTTAATTTTGGTGCTTGAACTAAATAATGTTTTATTTTTTATTTGCATGATCTCAACCATATAGACTATTTTGTAATCCTTTCAAGTCGATTTTCATTCTTCTCTTCAAATTCCATTTTATATTATCTCCCAGAAAGAGTTGAACAATTTAAAAATTTTGAACAGAAAATATAAAGTACGATACCTTCATTAACTCAAGGACAAACTCCAAAAATTTATGAAGAAAAGAATACCAACTGAACTTAAATTTTCAAGGAATAGTTCCATTTTCCAAAAATATAAAGATTTGGCAGGGCAAATGTACCTCTTAAATATAGTAGCTTCAAGCGTAATTGAAGCCTATTTTACATCTATGTAAACGTTACCTGACTTGAAGTCGACTTCGCTCAATAAATTTTGCTTATTTGACTTGAAATGTCAATAATAACTTAAAATGTATTAGCTAAACGTTATTTTCGAGCATTCAACCTGATATATGTAGTAAAAACGTAGCTTGAGTTTCGATATGATTTCAGGTCGAGTACTCAAGTTGCAATATAAACGAGGTACATGGCCAGTTTTTCATTAGGGTGGTGATGGCAATCTTATACTATGCGCACCCTTTCAGATCTAAATTACTTTAATTTTTTTTTTGTTAATCTTTATTGTAAATGTCAAATTTTAAACTTGCAATGCTGTCAGTTGTCTTTTTTTTCACTGATTTTTTATACAAAATTCCTTATTGTTTTTTCTTTTGTTTTTTTAAAATGTTAGAAATCCTTAAAATAATTTCATTTTTTTCCCTTAGATTTAAAACAAAACAAAAAATCAAGATTGAGATGATTTTGATTTGTTTTATAATTTATTAAAAAAGCAAAGCAGAAAATGGTATACGATAAAAAATAATAAAAAAAGGATAAAAGACATTTTGACGCGCGTGGAGAATGCAAAGTATTCTCTAAGAGTAAAAGGAAATCACCATTTGAATGCCTTATGATTAAAGAATTTTCAATTTTAAATAGACAGAAAAGTCAAACAGCAAAAATTCTTTGCTTCTATGGGCCCATTATTATTATGATTTTAGAAGCAAATGTGAGTTATTTACAGTTTCCGTAAATTTTTCTAATAATATTATGTAGTAATATTTTATATTTCTTGGCATTTATTTAAGAACGTTATTTTTGTATTGTACATACATACTTATATAAATAGCATGACCCTTTATGTCACTTTCACAACACAAAATAGAGGAATGAAACCTTTCATCTTATCAAAATCAAAGATGATCTTTTCATTTTCACCAATTTTCAATTTCTAAATCGTTTAAAAAATTCGATTTAAATTAACAGATAGCATATTTCAAAATTAGAAAACTGACAGTTAAATAAGTGTTTTTGACTTCCCTTCTGTAACATAACGTACTTTATAGTTCCCTTAAATAATGATCAATGAATATAAGTAATATAATGACTCTTCTTCCAGTTGTCGAAGTGGAGTGACAAATATCGCTACGACTTAAATTTGATATTGCAAGTCACGATCGTATTTGCACTTGTCAGGAAATATCTAGAAACATGTATTTTAACTATTTTAACTCGTCATTCTTATAATTTATATAATTCGGAAACGCTCGTTTAATTATAAAAAATACCCTTTGTTCTTAAACATTGGTTGCAATTGATTAATTCGATTGAGGTATCTTATGCTATTAAATTTCCTATTAATATTTTATGTCAAAATAGATAGCATAAATATTAAATATTTGAACTAAAATATAATAATAAGTTGAGAAAATTAAATGCCTTTAACTTTTAAGTCTTCTATGATCCAATAAAATAATCCCCATATAAAATTTTCATATATTTAATCGACAGCGAGTATTGAAAGCAAAACAAAAAAAAATGGGGACTTTAAAATTTCAAACAAAAAATTATTATGCATAGAAAATATTGTTCTTGAATATTAAAATTATTCTCATATTTACATACATTTTGCATATTATATTCACATTGTATACAAACGAATAATGTATCTATAGAAAATAAATGAATTGAATAAGGAAACTTACAGTCAGTGTTATCAAAACCATCTGCAAACCCCTCTCTATTTTTACATGTTTTCCACATTCTCATTTGAAACGTATACTATATGCATTGAAAAGCATAGAAATTTAGACAATAATATTGTTGTCAAAGTTTTGTTATGTAACGTTATCACATTCCATATTTTATCGAATAAAATCATCATTGTAATAATAATTGCGAACCCTCCATGACTGTCTGCACATTTTATGCTACACATTATAGACTTTTATTTTATATTTGGTTTAAAAACTTTTACAAAATATACTCCCCCATTTTTTGCATTTTATTAATATTTTTTTTAAAACAAAAATAAAGGAATCAAATTTGAAAACTCTATCATTTGATTCAACCCCGCTTTTTTGTTAAAATAAAAAAAAACGAAAGAGAAAAAGCGGAAAGTTAAAAGAAAATAGAAAAAAAAAACTTTTTCTCCATCACTTCGATATTATCTAAATTTGAATTTTGTGGGTATAGAGTGATGGCAGGCAAATGACTTTATCCAATTTCTGTTGATCAAATTAAGTTGACAATATTTTTGCATTTTCCACCATTTTTCAATAATAAAATTATAAGGAAAATTTTTTACCTTTATAGGAGGATATATAACACATGTAAATGTAGTTATGCGAAATTGGAATTCTTAAATTTTACTGAATTTATTGAAAAGATTACTGTTATATAATCTCTATAGTTCCATCTGTTATTATTAATTTTGAATGATCTCACTAGGTTTAAATTTTATTATGATTTAAGGCAGGATTGAAATAATATTAATCTAATACTATTATACATACACGATATTTTAAATATAAAATCTTTGTGACGGCGCTATTATCGCCTTTTCACAACACTGTCAAAATGATATGTATGAAAATATACAATGTATATTTTTCATTGACGTGAACACTATCTTGCTTGAATTTTAATCAGTTGAGATTGGATTTTGCTATGCACATATATGCAGATTGCTTAAATTACAAAGCCAAAATTCATATTATCGTTTAATTTGTTTAAAACAATTTCTTTGATTGAAAAGCTAATAAAAATTCGGAAAATTTACAAAGGAAACTGTAATCAGGTATAACCCGGTATCTTTAAAAATAAATATAAAACTGCTATCACATTTATGTACCGATTACTGAAATTCAAATATTCAGGCAACGACAATTATTCTAAAAACCAGATAACTTAATTCATGCTATTTATTTTGTTGTTGCTAATATATTTAAAGTTTAGGTCCTTTTAAATTAATTTTTTAAATTTTTTTTTCACAGATTTTAAAGATCATGAAACTCAAGTCAACATCTATTTTTATCACACTTAAATACAAAAATGTCAGAAGAATTTTTTTTTCATTTCACTCAAATAAAAATTCAGGTATATCAACAAAATTTTACAGTTATAGCCTTTAAAGGATGTATACATATTTATGAAGTATCCTAATATTTTGTATTTTATATCCTTCTATTAATGAACTTCCAAACAACCACAGATCGTTAAATATTATGGTTATCGCTGTCTCAGAAGAAAATTAGAAAAAATGTGACCTGAATAGGAAGAAAGAGAGAATAAAAAAATTAAATTAAATATTTGGAAAAATTAGATGAAAGTAGAGAGAAAATAAGTGGCAAGGATGTGAATGAAAAAAAAATTTAAAATTTTAAAAGAAATAAATGAAAATTATTTCGAAAAAAAAATTTTTGTCTCTCGAAAAGACATTTAACAATTACTTAAGTTTCGCCAAACTCTCAACAAACAGTAACACTATATAAGTTCATTAGTCCTTGTAGGAGCTAACCCAGGAATGTATAGTTTCGCATGCTTCATCCACGGTTTCAGTACTCCTGCCGGCCGTTATTGAGCTAAATAAAATACCCACATAAATTAAAATAACTAGGTATAAGAACAAGTATCCACAGGATATGGAAATATTTCTATTAAAAAATATTACAACCATTTCATGCATTTTTCTTGAGTTAACTCTTATTTCTGAGTATACCATAAATTTTTAAATAAACTTAAATAATAAAAAGAAATACTAACAATCGATAAACCATTTTAACACTCTAAAGAAAAATGAAAATCTTTTATTATATTGTGGTATTAGTATACATAGAAAAAGTATAGAAAGAGTAAATCCTTAAAATTATTATCCACTTTATGTCAAAAACATTAATCCATGTGCGCTATATTTATTTGCAATTACACACACGTATATTTATACGGTAATAAATTCCACTCAATTATATTCAGTCTCTCCGGTAAGTAACTACATATATTTCAAAATATAGGAGTTTATTTGAGTTATACAACATGATATTATTTATGATATGGAAAATACAACTATCCGCAAAATAATTGCCTAACTATATAAAATGTTTATAAATATTTTTATATTGTATGTATGGTTTATATTAGTAGAAATATGGAAAAACTTGAGATATTTTCATTGCTCATAAAATTATTTTGTTTCATGACACTTAAAATAAATTTTTGTTAAGTTTCATGTTAAGTTTGTTTTGCAATTTGTGGAAGTCGATTTTGCCATGATGAAAATGAGAAGGCGAACCATATTCTCTAACCATATTTGTGCAGCATTGGCCAGGAGGCGGTTGGTCCACTTGGGAAAATATTAGGTGACACTTTCGGGCTTGTTGGTAGGGGCGCTTTTACGAATCTAAAATTACATGAGGATTATAGGTTTAATAAACTCTTCATTAAAAACTCTAACACATTTCGATAATATAAAATCAAAAATTTCTATCCTTAAATTAAATCAATTCATTTATACTTAATTATTTTTCTCAATAATCGATTTTGTATAGAATGATTTTTCTTGAATTATTTCTGGACTGTTATATGAATAATCCTATGATGCTTTTCTTTTCAAATTTATTGTACTAATAGTATATAAGAAAACTTTTCATAAATACCTACTTTCATTTAAGATTCGTAAAGATTAAGATGCAAAAAAGGGAGCGAATAACTTAATGGAATGTTTAATCGAATGAAATGCATAAACATTTTTAAATTCCACCGTAGCGAAAGCGATTTACAACACCGAAAAAAAAAATGGAAACCTTCATTCCTTTTCTTTTGTTATTCCTCCTCAAGCATAATTGTTGAGTTTACCTTATAAATTAAATAGAATTTCGTGTCCTCTTATAAGTAATGAATGCAAAACATCAAATTATATAAGATAAAAATATTTTCTTTTGTTTAATTTCTATAATATGAAAATTTTCATTAAATTGCTTTCGAAAATTTATGACATTAAAATTTGTGTCTAGAAATGGAAAGTATAATTTTCCTTAAAACTCCCATTTCATTTAATTTAACATTTCTTTATTTTTAATCTAAACGTTTTTTATTTTTTTCTTTTAAATAATAAAAATCATTATATTCAAATGGTGGAAATTTACAATACAAATGAAAAGTATAAGATCACATTTTTGTTTTGAATGTAATTGAAAATGTTTAAGACCTTAAAATATTTGGAAATGTGTAATGGAACTGGAAGTACAAATCAAATACCTTCAAATATTTCTGTTTTAATAAAACCTTAATTAAGAAACTTATCATAAAGTCCAGATCTCCCTCCCAATATGATAGAACTACGAAGTTTCTTCAAATATTCAGGAATTTCAATCGTAATATTGAAAGATCTTGAGCCGTGAATATTTTAAAAACTCATTTATTCATCTTTTGAGCTTCAACTGCACTTCTTCAATGACACTGAGGAATCATTTTCTTGCAAGATTAAAAAGTTTATGACGAAGGCTAGATATAGCTTTGAAGCTAACTCATAAAATTCGTATGATAACTAGAGAGTAGACAACCATTTATAAATTAAAAACATTTTATACCTTAAGGTTTTGACGAAATTTCTTCATCACTTCCTAAAAAAGACATCTAAGCATGTGAAACGTTGTATAAGACATATTATATGTTCACGAAAAGCACATTTATTCTCTAGTGTAATGAATCTTCCTGCCATTCTACACAAGAACTAACATAGTGTTGTTTTCTTTTCTTTCATTTCTGGAAATTAAACCGAAACGCAATTAATGAAAATTTGTATTTTTATATTTCTGTTTCATAACACTTTTTTTGTCTTTAATTATTTCTATCTCTTTCTATATTTAAAATATTAATGAATTAAATTTATTCACCCTTGACACTCATAGAAATGCAGAAAAGAAAAAACAACAAAAAAAAATTAAGAAGTCATCATTGTAACACCGCTACGTTGTACATTGCATTGCTTTATAAATCGAAAATAATGTTAAAGGAGAATACGAGTATAAGAAAGGATGCCGGGCAAAAATAACGGTTCATCTTCTTTCGCCTTCTCATTCTTGCCCTTGTCTTTCTCTTTTATTTTTATATTTTTCAAATTTTCTATATAATATTTTTAATTTTTGATCTTATAAGAAAAATATACAGAGGAAGAAAAAAAAAAGTTAGAAACTCATAAATTCATTAAGTCAAAAGGAATTTTTATAAAAAAAAAACAGACAAGGAATGAGAGGATAAAGAATTATTGTAAAAGGTATAAATTAAACTGGAAATTAAGAATAAAGAATTTCTATAATTCCTTTCTTGTACTTTACAACTAGAGTATGCAAAAAAAAAAAAACAAAGAAAATGGAAAATATACTAGACAAAAATTTAAGAGTTTTCCTTAGGAAAACTTTAAAATTTTAAAAAATTAAAAAGGGCAAAACGTATGGTAAAAATTTACATAAAAATTCTTTTTAAAGAGGAAAAAGAATTTTTGTTTCTTCTACAAAGAAGGAGAAAGAACCATGATTTTTACTTCAAAGTAATAAAATAGTTTTTATGAAAAAATATTTTTGACTACTCAAATTTAAGTGGAAAATTTATTGTAATTTTATGTGAATAAACGCATGTGGCATTTTTTACTAATCAGAGTAATAAATTTTGATTTTTAATTTAAGGGTCGCAGCTAGATATTTGAATATTTGACTGAAACTTTTAAAATTTTTGAAATACATACATATATATGTACATACACATTTTGTATGGTTGGTTACAAAGGCTTAAAAACATTTATTTTATAAAATATACTTAATGTAAGTATAATTTTGAATGACAGATGCAAATAGCATGTGCGGTTGATGCATTTAAATTACTTAGCATTTTGACAGAGTACTAGAGTAACACAAAGAGCATGTCATAAATTGTTTGTCCTTAAAAATACGGTTTTTAACAAATTAATTCAGTAAATTGCTTCATTATATATTACTTTAAATTACTGTACCTAAAAATTTCCTTTTCTTGAACTTTATCCAAACTTCATTTTGTTTTGCTTCACTGTATTTTCGATATTTGAGATTACTTCTTCTATAATTCATTTTTTCTTTGATAGTATCCGTATCTCAAGAAAACAATCAAATAGACCAATAAAATACAATAATTTGATTTTATCAAAATCCGAAAAGGGTAGATTCTCCAGAGCAATTAGAATTCCTTTTTTTCGACTCGACCTATTTGTCTGTGAAAATGCAGATACACGTATACTTTACCACCAGCCATTTAAAACCTCGAACCACTGTAATGCAGATTTTAAACGCACAGCCGATCCCACCGCAATCTGTTTCCCTAGAATATCAGGTGGAAAAGCGTTTCAAGGGCCTGTGTAGAAATTGAATGTTCCCCTCATGTACATCAATGCCATTTTGAACTTTGCTTGTTAGTTTTAGATTGATTAATTTACCCAGGGCAGGTCCCCATACCAGAACACTCTAGATGAGTACAGGTTTGACTACCGCAGATAAAACCAATAAACCATGCATGGCTTAAGTCACCACTCCTTCCCGATGGCTCTCTTGCACGAGAAAAGCACAGTAATTACTTTCTTTATTCGCTCCTTGATGTTGCACCTCCAGTTTTCCTTAAGGTCCGTGATTAATTCCAAGAATTTAGTTTTAGAGGAGAAAGTGAGCCTTGTTTCAACCAGTTTTAGCGGAATCATATTCGGTATTTTGCACGAAAGTACCTAAAAAAAAAGCAAAAGAAATGTAGCTATAATAACTAAATATATGGATATGAATTATGTATAACTAATACAATTTATGGAATTTGCAAAATTTCTTAAATTATGTTCAATTAAAAAACTTCATAAATATTCATGTATAAATAATGATAACAGTTAAAAAAAACTTAACTGATAAATTTGCTTTCAATATACATAAATAATTTTTATTTTAAATTGGGAAAAAAGCAAAAAAATAAATAAAAGAAAAAGTGTAATTAAACACATATTCAAAAAAAAAAAAACGCTTAACAAGGAAACAAGGAAATTGCGATAAAATTCCAATAAATTTCACCACATTTTACTTTCACTTTCATATACAACATACTCCCAACATCCCTCCTTTTTTACAGTATAAAAAATTCATTTGTTGCTTCAGCAATGTCGCCTTTTGTATTTCGTTTTTATAAAATATTTTAGCAATAAAAATTACACCTACTTATCATTTTGAATTGTGTATATCTTTTGTTTTCTAGAGTATAGAAATTTATCAAAAAACGGCATAAAAACAAATACACATATTCCAAAAAGAAAAAACAAACATTAATTTCCCACCAGGTTAAGCTTTATTTTACAACTCCATATCATTTCATTTTTTTCCCCTGAAAAATTTCAAATATACTGAAGCTCCTCGTACCCTTCTCCATCACTACAAATTTTCCAACCAACACCATTTTGAGCACATTCATCTTTCTCCTTCTTTACCCCCTCTTTCATCAATCAGTCTACATGCAAAATTTATTTTTATTTCCCGTTTAAGTTATTCCTTTCTTTTCTTTTCGTTAAATTAAATTTATTACGTTGAATAAATGTCCTTAATTATATAAAATTTTCCTAATTTTATTTGGTATGATATGTTTTACCTATGAACACAAACTTAGGCGTATAATAGCAGATACTTATGTGGTTTTTTTTCTTTGTTTACACTCTTTATATATTTGTCGTTTTCCATAACTAATTTCAATACATTAAAATTAGACATACAATCAAGGTAACAAAATTTATGTTTCAATTATAATATTTTTGACAGTTTTATTATTATAAATAAAAAAAATGGAAAAGTTTTATTTCAAGTAAACAAAGAATAACACAAAACAAAAAAATACCGTGTGGTTTAACCTCTTTCTACCGACACCAAACACCTCTTTCATTTCAGCAACCTCCAATGGTTTTGATTTCTTTTAATTTTCCTATCATTTATTTAAATTTTCTTCCTTGTTATATAATATTCCAGCTTATTTCCGTGTTATAATTTTCCTGTTTTACACCAATACACCTACTTTATAAATTTTTTGTTTATGTAATATAAAATATTTAATTCGTAAGGTTTTTAGGTGTGATACGTAATAATTTAAAAATAAGACAACTATGTAGCTGTATTTTATGTAGGTAGATACAAAGTGAAAAAGTTTTAAGTTGAATTAAGATAATATTAAAAAATTAGTTTAACATTGCGGTAAATTATAGCTATCAAGTTATACCAGTAACATTTAAGGCAGTATTACAGGCTATAAGTCATTCCACATTGTTTTTACTTATTCATTCGTCTGAGTGGACTTCTACGCTCAGAAAACAATTTGATAATAACAACAAATTTACCTGAGGTACAAAATTAGTTGAGTTTGGGGAAACAATTTTACGTTCTATTAATTTTTTTTATTCAGTCACTAATATTCAGGAGGCAACATTTCTTCCATTAAAGAATGTAAGTCAAGTTCATTTTATTTTCCAGTTGATAGATTATGTTCTCCAACTCAATCTATTCTATCCTTTAAAGAAATAGATGGAAACAAAATTTCTGTTTTGAGTTTCTTACCAATTCGAATTTAACACTTAAAATTATATCATAGCAGTACGCAACAGTGTAGCTTTTGTAAAATTGGAAAAACTTTATATTTTCGGTAAAAAAAAGGTAAAAAGAATAATGATAAAAAAATTGTAATGAAAAATGCTTTAACATCACGACATCAGAGCTAGCACATTTTTAGTTACTACTTTTTGTCTTAATATTTAATAGGAACATTGTAATATTATCATAAAATGTGGTAGGTACTTGGCTTATTATTTACGTACCACAATATTGTAAGTAAGCTATCGAATTTAATTAACCATTCTACATAACATAGCATATGTGCGACGAATTGAATTTTAATATAACAAAATATCAATAACAAGTATTACGCTTTGAAGTTTAATTTTCATTATATCTAACATTGATTCATGTCTTTTAGGGGAATAGAATACTCCAAACTTATTGGAATCACACAAAATATACTTAATTATATTCAGCCTACATAGTGGAATATAATAATAATAAATAATACATGAACATCTAGTCTATCTAGCTAGACTATTCGGCTAGGAAACCACAAAGAATATTCAACATCTGCGTAAATTTGATGCTCTTATAAGGAAGTGAGACTTGGGTTATAAAGAAAAACTGTACAAACAAAATAAGTCTTAATAAAAAAAATACCTAAGACTTATTGTATATTCTTATCGAGAATAATCAGGAACTCAGATCTCTGGGAGTTGACAGAGCAGAAATCCATAGAGATCAAAATAAAGAAGAGAAAATGAAAATGAATTCGCAATACTCTCAGAAGGCAAGAGAACAACAAGTGAACAAGGAAAATGTGCAAACCGAAAAAAAATGTGGTGCAGATTAGTTCAGAAAGAAATAGAAGAGAACTGTAGAGTTATGTTGCCCATACACCCTAAGTGAGCAAAAAAAAATATAGTAGAATAGTTGAAAAAAATTTGTTCCGGTAGTGTTATTTTGTGTAGAAAATAAATTTAAATTTACAAAAGCTTTTACAAAAAAATCAAAAGAATGCACTAAAATCAAATAATATTCAACATAACAGTAAAACAAAGAAAAATAAACTGTTATAATCTGACTGTTAATAGTTAAATACAATTAAACAACAACAAAGCTTAAAACAAAAGAAAAAATATAATAATAACTTAAACTAAAATAAAACAGGAAAAAAAAGTAAATGTTTGATAAGGATAATAAGAAAAACACGAAAAAAATACAGGAAAAAAAACGAAAACACCAGTGTTATTAAAAATTTTCAACTTTAGGTAGGGCAAACTACAATGGTATAATAACAATAACATAACGGTAAAACCGGAAAAAAATATTTAGATCAAAAAAGTGAGAAAAAGAAAAACTCAAATCCGTTAACCGCAAGCATAACACACGAACAAAAGAAGAGAAAATCAAAGAATTAGAAGAAAAAAATCGATTGAAGACCTGTGAATAAAAATCACATTTTTTGAATAATAATGTGTATGTGTAGGTACCTACGTTAGAAATATGAACAAAATATAAAAAACAAACTTGGAGATACAAGAAAATGCGGTCGAAATATAGCACATTTTCGATATATAAGTATATAGAGTTTTCATAAAACATTTTTATGAATACTTAAATGCTGATACTTGTTAAAAAATGTAATAAATTTGGCGCCGTTGAATTTTCCTTCGTTCTGCGAGAGTAGAATAGACTTAATTTTTTAATATTAATGACTAAATATACATTATGACTTTAGGGATCCTATTACAAATGCTTTGTTTTTAGTACTTCTGTTGTTACAACCCGCCTCTATTCATCAAATTTTATAAGTATCATAGAAATATTAAAGAAATACATATTTGAGCTCACTTTATAATTGATTTGGATTTAATAAGCAAGATTGTGACCAAAGTTTTAAACATTTCTTAGAATAGAGTAAATTAGACATGTAGCAACAATGCACTGCGACGCAAGGGATGGATCCTTCTGATAAATTCGAATCATCTTTCTGGCAAATTCGACTATATTATGGGGATCTACTTCTCACTTTCCTGCTGCGAGAAAAAAATCACCCAAGGGTTCCTCCTGCTGTTGATCGATGACAAGGTGCATTACAGTTTCCATCATTTCTCCACAAAACTTACAAGTGCCCCGCCTTTTAGGCCTAATCTCCTCATGTGAGTCCTTAGTTAGCAGTGTCCCGGTAGGAGACCCGTGAGAATTCTCACCGATACTGGTTCTGGTCGTAATTGCGAAGCGTCTTGGTTTGACGCAAAAGCATCACGACGCCAGTCAACAACAGGGTTTTCGACCCATCTATGTACCACTTTATGGTGTGCAATTCCACCGTTGTTCTAAAAAGAGAAATTAAAATTTATAAATGCATGTTTGTTTTTTTGAACAATTTTAAACATAACGCATTACTTATACATTATATAATTATAAAGCAATAACAGTTTATATTTAAAATTTTGCTTACTTTTTCTTAAAGAACCCGCGGATTTTCTTTTTTATTTTTAAATTTTCTCATATTTAATTTGCTTTTTGTATCTACTACCGTTTTTATTTATTATTTTAATCTTTAAAAATAGAGAAAAAAATTCACTTTTTATCACACGCACACAATATCGCGCATATGTTTATTTCCGTTTAAATGTCAGATTAGTTTCATTTAGCTACGAAAACAAAAAGGACGAAAGAAAAGAAAGGTAAACTAAAAAATATTTTATTACAATGTAGGGATTTTTTTTTTGATTTCTCATATTGTGTAGAAAATTAAAAAAAATGTATTTAGAATGGGGCAATCCTGTTTCAATTCAAAACAAGCACGTTCCTATTACACTATTAAATTTCTATATTATTTGCATATAAAAGTTTTATAACTAAGTGGTTTAGCTACATACATCTGTATCTATATATGTTGTTTTTCTTTTTCTAAATATCAAACAACACCTTTAAAAAGTTGAAAGAAACAATAGACCGTTAAATACAATATATGTGTTGTAATAAGAAGTTGCTGAAAGAAGAAAAAGGGAGGCGATGGTTAGGGTACACTTTGCAGAGTTCATCAGAAGCAGTTGCCCTGTAAGCCCTGTAATGGAATCCAAAGGAGAAACGCAAGATAGAAAGACCTCGTGGCGAAGAACAATAGAAAAGGAAATCAAGGACAGTGGCCAAACTTGGGCACGAATAAGCCTTCTAGCAAGCAAATAGAATGCCCCTAAAGGAAGTGAAAGAAGGATGAGAAAAAAAGAAATTGTTGAGCACTTCTTATTACTCTACTTTTTGTTATTGAAATGCAAATAGCTTTATTATTTTGTAAGAATGCCCATATATTATTAATAAGTGATTTGGACACATCATTTTTTTTCTATTCTCTCAAACATAATATTTATTTTATTTGCATTATAGTCAACGCTGTTGTAGGTCTGACAGGCAACTTTTAACTATATAATTTACAACACTTAATTGTTCAAATAATATTTTATTTATTTTGTTAATTAACATTACACAATGTTAAATATAAAAAAAAATTTTGAAAAGTTATGTTGAAATGTTAAAACTTTTAATGAATAGAAAATAGGGAAATATTATGTGTAATTAATTAAGAGAAACCAAAAGAAAAAAAATTATTGGAGGGCAAGTTTATTAATAGAACAAGTGGATCACTATAGAATTAAAGTAATAAAAACAGGGCAATTTGTATATTATGAAAAAGAGTATTAACTTAGAGTATTTAAAATAAAAATTATCCCATTTTATTAAATAATGTGTTATATGAAGAGTAATGGTGTATAGTTGTAATAATTTCCTCCAATTATGTTGGGGAAACATAAAATATATTAAATTCAATGTAGAAAAGGTAAATTCAATAATTGTGTTGATTAATATTTAATTATTTTTTAAGTAAATTTCAATTTTCTTATTTGAAAATAGTACAGGGTTACAATATTATATAGAAGTTGCAAGTTTTTTGCTCTTTAGTGGCTAAAAGTATAGGTGGACCGAAATCGGTTTCATGCTTCACTGCTTCTTTGCCAGACATTGTGCAGTGATATATCAAAACAGAAACTGGGTAAATCGAATTAGTATTTTTATGGATTCTGTCGGAATAGTGAGTGTATCTGTATGGTTTTAGCCGTCGTGTCAAAGTCCTGAAGAATATCTCCGGGTATATACTTGGGACTGAGGTAGTATAGCGCGATAAGCGCGATGTGAGGTCTATAATAAGTCAGGGTTGACGCGACGGTGGTTGTAAAAGAGGCGTTTAGTGCCCACATCTCTTTAGAGTAATCGTCTACAATCTACAAAATTTGCTGGACGTTTAAGTATTAGAAACATGTAATGTGGTATATAAAATACAAAATACTCGTATGAGTAAACACCAGTTGGGTCACATGTCATCCTCAACAAGAAGTATGACAATGAATGAAATTTAATCACAAAATATTTAGGAGGCAAGATCACAAACAACCCAATACTTTTCCTCGGAATTTCTTCAGATAAATTTTAATAAGATAAAAATTCTTATATCCTGTAGATACATACATATGTATATGTATATGTAAGAATGTTTTGCAATTTCGCTTGCCTTTTCAGTGTATTTTTCTTTTTTTCCAAAAAGTAGAAATTATTTTTTATTAAAATTCTAAATGTCAAAATAAAATAACAAAGAAAAACAATATTTTTGTTTATGATGATATTTTTTTGACAGCTTTACATTGGTTTAACTTTTCCTTTTGTTTTGTTTTGAGCTTTTCCTTATTCTATTTCAAACTTTTACCCCTTTCTTCCTTTTGTAGATATTGTTCGATTTAAAGGTGAAAAGTTATACATTTAAGTTAAATAATTTGAAATTCTTAAAAAAAAAAAAATAAAAATATCCTTTGATTATTTTCTGTATTTTCATGTAAAGAAAATAAATTAAAAATTTTCATTTAACAGCAGTTATAGGAAAAGAAAACACATGTAAAAACGTTTCAGTAGGTTTAAACCGACTAGATCATATCCCGCACCTTGACAATCTGAATATAAAAAATTGTTTTAGTCCGGCAACTATACCCGAACCTATTAAGCCATTCTATAACAACTTTACGGATATATCTGGCCCTTAATTAAGCACATGAATATCAAATTTCACACATCTAACATTATTATGATTTCAACTATTTAGCTTTTAAGGTTTTATGGCAGCTACGCGAATCCATTGGCTGAGTTAGTTTAATTACAATAACAACCGTCATTCATAGAAAAGATTATCAGGTCCCTCTCTTTGGTGTTGTTTTCTTAATTCGTTTTTGAGTTACGACTTACGAGCAATCGAAAGAACAGGCGGAAATATCTAAATCAATGCAGAATTTTGCTCTGAGAAAGAATATATACACATTTTCATATTGCAGATGACTCTTTCAAGTGGTTGAAAACTCTGTACCAAAGTAGGAAGGTGTAGGGTATAAAAATGAGTTGTCTTTTTTGAAAATTTAATTTATTCACTTTTTCTTTAAAAAAAAATTATAAATAAAGAAATTTCCTTTTTGAATCCTTTAAATAAATTATTTTTCTTTTTTTTTATTTTAATTTTTGTTTCTATAAAATCCATTGATGGTAGTAAACTGAAACTGATTGCTATTGGCGATTTTTTCTCTTATAATTTTGGTGTTATTCTCATTTTTACTTATTTTGCATATTTTTCAAAAAAAAAAAAGAAGACAACCATACAACCATGTATTAGAATTTTATTTTTATATTTGCAAAATAAAAGATAAAGGATACAAAAGAAAAGGATATGGATTAGGAATATTTCTTATATTTTTGTTTCTTTATTATTTTTTATAATAATTTTTATTAGTAGTCAAAAAAAGAAGAATTTGCTTGTGTTTTTCTTGGTTTCTTTTTGCTTTCTTGAATATCAAAAGGAAAAAGGATAAAGGATTTTATATTTTATTGTGTATTATTACTTTTTTTTAAGAAAATAAGGAAATCATTTATGAAATTCGTGCTTTACGCTTTGATTGAATTAATGGTTTTAATAAATTGAAGAAAAATATGTTTGAAAATAAAAAAAATATATAAAAAGATTCTTTTGTATTTCAAAGGATTTTATTTTAAATATTATTTTGTGGGAAAATTAAAAGATCAATAAAAAAAAAAAGAAACGAGAAAAGTGTTCTTTTTTTTACAACTTTTAAAATGATTGATTAGACTTTTGTAATATTTTTTTTACTATTTTAAAAACTGAAGTAAGTTTAAGTTTTTTCTTGAATCTTGGTCATTGATAAGAATTTTATCTACAAATAAGAACAAAAATTTTACGTAATACCTCAGTAGTACCAGTAGCAGTAAGACAATGGGACCTCCTCTAGCCACTCACGTAGAATTCATGCACTACAAGCAGCCAACAAGAAGGTCCATCATTAACTTCTATATTAATAACCGTTAACTTTCATGTAATACTAACACCAAAAGCCATTTTGGTCATTTTTGGAAGAGATGAGTAATAGGTGCGGCAGGGAATCTCCCTCTTCTACATCAGAGACGGACAAGTACAAAGAACATGCTCCACATCTTCTCGCCCGCAATAATATCTTGAAATTCCAATATCTCTTACTCGAAATTTTAGTATAAAATATTTTATAAAATTTGAACTAATTTGAACGTGCATAAAAACTCAAGAAAGAGTTCACTGAAAGCAATTGAAGGAAATTTAAACCGTTCTAGGTTTTTCCTAGGAATAGGTATACTCATACAAAATTCAAACTGTGATATAAAATCAATTATCACTTTCAAGCAAAGCAATTTTTCACATATTAGAAATTCCATGCTCTCTAAATTTTTGCAGACTAAAATATCGGGTCGACATAGAAACTGATATACGACATAAAAACGGTTGCCAATGAGCATACTAACCCAAGTGGCCAAAACTGAAGCAGCAAATAAATCAAATCCGGCCTTTTAAACTGGAATAAATTGTAAATTCAACAGGTTCTTAATCACCTTATCATATCAAGTGCTTTAGTGATGGATTACTACATTATTTGGTGCGGTAAAACTGTGGTTTAATTGGGTAAATGAAGTCTGCGATCCTTTTCATTTTACTCTTTATTCCAGTTCTGAAGAAACAGCCACCATCGTTAACTTGTTGTGCCAGAAATAATAATATCATCTTTTATGAATTTTCCTTTCCACTGCGTTACTCGATTATATTTTAATATCTTTGGTAGTTCCTGGGTCTGGTAAAGGTGTCAAGATTTCTGAAATTTTTTTAAAACCATTAGCCATTTTAAAATATTTTTAAATGCATTAAGTTAATTTATAATTATATTAAATTAAATTAATTTTTCTGTTATTTTTCATTACAGTGGAAAATCCGTTGGGGTGTTGTGACAAAATTATCACCGGCAGCAGGTAAATAAAAAAATCCTCTTTTATAATTTTCATTATTTTTTTTTCTATTCTACTTTCTCTTAACATTTTTATTGTTACATGCAACATTTCATTTTATTTCATGTAATATTAATTTTATTAAAAGATGCGTCATGCTTTATTAAATAAAATGCTATACACCAAAACGTTAATATACATTAGAAAATATTTTTCTTAAAAAAGAAAGGATAATCGAAAAGGAACACAGCTGTATCGAGTTCGATTAGTATTAATCGGGTTCGATTAATAATAGAAGGCTACTTCACCGGGAATTATCGAGTAAAGTCTCATCTGTACAATCTGGGAAAATCGGCCAGCACATTCCAAAGTTAGACTCAAAAATGACACATATAAACGCTTCGTAACAAGTAGACCAACGAACTCCCTTTTGACATATTATTTGAAACTATATCACCTGCATTTGCGAGCTTATTTGGTGACTGCAAACTGGTTGAATCCAATTGAATTTCCTTGAGATCGAGAAAGAAATGCTAAGAATTATGCGTCAAATTCTAAAATTCTTCACAAAGTGCCTTCACAATCGCATTATATGATATTCGCAGTTGTATATACCAAAATATAGCAATCTAAAATAAAATTGAAAATCAAATTAGATCATATATGTATTTAGCATATTCGATATACATATAAGTAAGAAGTTATACAGAGATTCTATACTTATAAGCATTTACATTTTCTTATGTTGTAAATAAGAAAAAAATTTTTCTTAAATTATATTAAATTTAATAAATTTTACTCCACTCCACAGATTACTAGGTATGTATATACAAAAAAGTGAAAACATTTTGTATATGCAAAATATTTTTAAAAATTACAAGAGAATGTTAAACAAAAAAAAGCGAAACGATAAAAAATCACAACATATTACGGTCCATTAACCAATTTATGTTGTTTGAAACATTAAAAAAAATATTTTAAAAAAAAAAGAAGTGAAATTGTTATAAAATAATGATGGTTCTTTTGTTACCTATCGCCGTTTTCAAAATTTCTAAATATTTAAAATTATTCTGGACTAGCTATTAAATTTGGCGATATCGGTAATCTATTCATATAATTTTAGTAATAAGCCATTACAGTAACACAATATAGTAATTAATTATTGTAGCCTACTATTTATAACGTGGTCTTAGCTTTAGTATACCATTTTTCATCCAAATTCAAAAAAGATGTGACTTTTTTAAAAATTAGATTTAGAATACATTTTAAAAGAAAATTCTATAATTTTTATAGAACTATATTCTAGCTAACAAGATGAACTTTTAAGGTTTTGAATTTAAGTGTTCAAGGTTTGTTGCTTCATTATTTTATTAAATACAATTTATAGCGCTTAACATTATTTCGGCAAATCCATAATATAGTTTTATTTGACATATTTAGAACCCGCTCACTTTACTATTTCACTTGATTCGCTTAACAGATCTTAACCTAAGCTCTTATGAAATTCAATTTATGAATTTATTTTAAAAATTAACAAAAATATAATTGACATAGAAAACATAAAATCGCTTCCATAATTTTTTTAAATCAAATATTCTGGAAAACAAAGTTTTTAATTTATTCTATTTTAGATTTTACAAATAGATTTCTTTTTACAAATCAATATTCAAATAAAAATGGAAATATACCAACGTACACATTATATTCTAAAATACATGGAGTTATAAAGAGATCTAGAATTTCCTTTCATTTAATGGTTAATTTGCAAATTCAGCTAAAAAAGAGGAAAAATATGAAAAAGAGCCATCTAGAACTGAACAAATACACTGAAAAATATGAAGAAAATAAAAAAAAAGAAAATAAGATTGTATAATTTTCTATCTCAGCTTTGGTACACCAATTTCTAAGAATAAAAAATGGAATATAGAGAAAGATTTTCATAGCCATATAGAGTAAAGAAAAAGAACAACATGATATTTGATTTTTCTATTGTGAATTTTTCAATTTTTTTTGCTGCTTTTGTTTTTTAGATCCTAGGAAGACATTCGATTCAGTTCTTGTTATCTTTTATCCTTTTTGTTTTGTTTATTGTATAAATTCGTGTATATGTTCTGCTCTTTTTTTATTTCGTATTACGTATGTAGATTTGTACTGTTTGGAAAAACGATTTAAAATAATTTTTGATGATAAGCATAAAGATTTTTTTGATTTGAATCGATTGATTTAGAACTGGGGATGTTTTTCTTTTGGGGTTTTTCCTGCTTTGTTTTGATTTCTCTCTTTTGATTTCTAAATTGAATTCAAATTTAGAAGATTATCGAATTTAATAATAGCAGCTCTGTATATATGCATAATATTATTTATATAATATGATGAACTTATTTATAAATATACATACATATGCATATGCAAAGATTTTGAATTAAGTCATAAATACTATACATACATATATAGGACACATATAAGAAAGGACATTATTTTCATTAAAAAATGTAAATCGTAATCTATTGAATATTCTGGGTTTTTATTTACTTGATGCTTGTTTTTTTTTCAAAAGAACTTCTGTAATTGTAAATTTAAACAAAAGGTTTGACGATGCAAATTTGATTTACTCAACCTACCCTCTATCATATTTATTTTAAGTAGATTGTTGATTGCATTGTTAAGTGGTGTGTTTCGATGGATTGCAAACTACGAATATAAATTGAAAATTAATATAATATTGGGATCATTAACAAGAGAAAATATATATTATTTCATACATTTTAAATTTTGGATTTTAATCTCATCCTCCTGGTGTGCCCACCCTCCCGCTTTGGTCACAACTTCTTTGTCGCGTTACACTTTGTTCCGTTCGCCATTTGAGGTAGGTATTCTTCACTGCTGTATTGTGCAGTTAAGAGACTACCTACAATCTTGAACCATTCTGAATGAGGAGTCTCAGTCTTATCGCGGCCTCACGGATATCACATTATCGCCAAGTCAGTGTAGAGCCTACCCAGTCGCGATTCGCTTCCAACATCATCTGCTGCCCGCTTGATTTACCTCGACAGGATCGAAGTCTCAAAATTCTACATAAATGAATACACAAGTCGAATAAAATCAATTGCCCAAACATATGGACTTTTTGCATGGTACTGGCTGAATGAAAGCATGGCTCATGAGCCAGACGACTACTGAGGTGTGGCTACCACCCGTACTGCATGGTTCCGCACTGCTCGTGCAGTATATCTAATGGCAGCAGATGCAAGAGAACCTGAAGACCCTGAGTAAGGGTGGAACGCAACACTTCAATCCTCAACTGCCATTCTTTGAATTTTACTTATCAATTAGAGGTCCTCAGCTCTACGGAGCGCCGGTGTATAGCCAATCAACAATTTTTGTTTTCAACTCCACCTCTTTTCGATTGCTTTCTTGCACGAGTAAAGTCCAATAGTTGCTTTTTTTACTCTTTCCATAATATTAAAGCTAAAGAATAGTCGAATTCCGTTGAGTTCCAGTGAAGTTATGGTTGGCGCTTTATATTTCATGCTGAAAATTATCAGCTGTGTTTTTTGAGGGTTGATAGTCAGTCCACAGTTCACAGTTCAGCCAAAATCCTCCTAAAAATACCAGTAACTCATTAATTACCAATTTCCAGAGAAGAGGAATAAGCACACCCCCTTGCAGAATGCCCCCTACGACAGAGCGTTAAATACTCGTACCGCCGAAGCTACTCCTAATCCTGACAGTCTTGCTTGACAGCATGTTTTCTATCAGGGCTCGCAGGCGGTCGTGAATTGAGAGCTCCGACAGTACCAGGGTAAACGACCGTGAATCAACATTATTGAAAACGCCTTAATATCCAGGAAAGTAGCCAATGTGTATTCCCCGCAGAGTCCTTAACATATCTTTAAATTTCCAGTTTAATTAATATTGGTTTTCTATATTTTAATGATATTATATTCAATAAAAAATATTTAAACAAATAATTTGAAAAATTTTCATTTAAAAGAAACATATCTATATTTTCATAATTATTAAATTATTATTGTAAACTTTAAAAAAGCAATTTAATTCATATAATAATAACTTAAGCATACCTTTAGGTGATAAAAGAAAATTCCATTAATTTTCAACATAAAACTACAAAAATTATGAAGAAAATCTATAGCTACTACTAAATTATATTAAAATTTTTGGTAAAGTTTTCTTTAATAAATTCTTATGGTATTTGCTTTCACTTTGAAAAAGTTGGCGAAAAAGAGAAAAATAAAACGCCTTAAAATATACTATGCATATAAATTTTTGTGTTATCATTGAAAAGATAAGAAGATATTTTTAGTTTAAAGAAAAAGGAGAAAAGGAACAACGACTATAAAAAATTTATGTAGGTACTATAAAATATTTTAAAACTTTGGCATTTTTTTCGCCTCTAAAATAAGCAATTCTATATAAAGGATATAAGAGTTCTTATGGAGAAAAACATGAGAATAGTTCTGTTAGAACAATAATGGGGTCTAAAAAAAAATTTTTGTGTATTTTTACCTTAAAAAAATTTTTTTTATTGTGATTTTAGTAAGAACAATAAAAAATAGTTACACATTTATCATTTTTATAAATTGTTTCTCTCCATATTTTATCTTTAAATGAGAATTGAAATTTCCTTCGATGTGTGTGCGAAATTTAGCAAAAAAATTTTTAAGTAAAAGTTTAGTTAAAATCAGTTTCAGTTTAAATAGTTTTAGAAATTTTTATGAAATTCTAAGATTGAGGGAGAAATATTTTCCGGACAGGCCTGAATAACATGAATCTGGAAAGCGAAAGCACCTACAGATTCTGTGGGAAAGTTCTAATACATGTACCTCTTTAGAAAATAATAACTGGATAATCGGCATAACTAAAGTGCCATGTCATGTTTACTTGCCCTTAGAATTATTTAGCAAATTGTAGACAACAGATTTCTTTTCATTTACCAGTCTTCTTTCTTTTTAAATTATATTCTTTTGATCAATTTTAATTTCAGCAATCTAACATTTTTCCAACTCTTAAGTTCCAAAAACTAAGAAGAAATAAAGAAAACCTTCAGTTTCTTTTCTCTTCTTTTATTTTATTTTGTTCTTACAATTTTGGAAACAATTCAAATTACGATTAAACTGAATTATAATCGACTTAATAAAACTCAGTTTATGTTTTTATTTTGTTTTTATTTTGTTTCAGGCTTTTATTTACTTTGTTTTTTAGGCGCGCAAAAAAATATTAACGGCTTTATTTTTTTTTTATGTTAATGCGTTTAAGGAACAGATTTTGATTTATTTTCAAAAATGCTTTCAATTTTTTATTTCTCTTTTTCCTTAATTTTCTCTTTTTTTGGCGCGTGCTTTCAATTGAAATAATCTTTAAGGGGGTTGGCGCGGCACGTTGGTTGAGAAATCTCTATACTTTAATAAAATTGAAAAAAGGAAGTGAGAAGAAAAAGTTTGAAGAAATAAAAAATTTTTTGGCGAAAAAAAAAATTCTTTTTTATTGTTGTCGCGGTACAAGACATCGCTAAAAAAAATTATTTTTTGTTAAATGATTTCCAATGAATTTAATCTTTTCTTTATGTGTTTATTAGCGAATTGAATTGGAATCAATTCAATTATGTATT